TGGAAGGCAGGCGGTACCTGCCGTGGCTCACCAACAGGTCAGTGCACAGCCGAATTCTCTCCTGCCGAGCTGGTGGTTGAATTTTGGCAGCGTTGATGTGAGGTGGCCGCCCTGCATGCTGCTGCACCTCTGCCCTGCTCAAGGTGCTGGTGGCTTCCACCTTGGCATCCTCCAGCAGTCCTTGCCCTGCATCCCGCAGAGCAAGGATGAGCCGAAGGAGGAGGGAGGTGGGGATGCATCCCTGGGATGTGAGGAAAGGGGTCAGGAATTCCTACAGCCTCCCCATGGGAACAACAACTTGAACAACAACAGGAGAGTGTTTTTGCATGATAAAAATAAGACACAGTTGCATCTGAGCTGCTTTTGGCCACAGCTTTTAGGCTTTTAGCAACTCAGGGCTTGGTTTGTGTCCTTTCTAATGCAGAGCGGGTGCCCTATCCCAGCAGAGATCCCAGAGTTTTAATACAGGGCTTAACAGGACTGATCACTGTTAGAGAAATGAGCTGATGGCCGGAGATCATTAGGAACCACCAAAAAGACCACGCACGTTTATTACAGGGAGCAACAAGCCGTACCCACTCAGGGCATCAATTCCCAGCACTAATTTGAACGCTACATTTGCTCTTCATTCGCTGGTAACAAATGAACGTGTTCTGCCCAGGTTAACGCGGAGAGGGGTGAAGTTTTTCCATAAGAAGGTGGAATCTTTCCAGGAGGTGAGTGGTGATGTGGAGCTGGGCAGAGCAGGGAGGAGCAGCTTCCAGTGGGCATGGGATGCTCTGAGGTCTCCCTTGGCACGGCTGGGTCAGGCAGGAGCATGCCAAGGTCTGGGAAATAAATCCTACCAAGAAAAATAAAGGCTCTTGGGCATCAAGAGATGGCTGAGAGGGGACGGGGGAGCACATTTGGCCGGGGGAGCTGTGCCCTGGATCCAGCCCTTATGGTTTATTCATTACCAAAGTATTGGACCAAGAATTGGGCTCAGCTTCGGTGCCCCCGTGGGAGCGTCCCGGGAGACACCGCTCTGTGCACTGCTCACTGTGTGTCTCTCCTCAGCTGTTTGCCCAGGGTGTGGATGTTGTCATTAACTGCACTGGGATACGCGCAGGGGAGCTGCAGCCCGACCCGGAGCTCCAGCCCGGCCGTGGGCAGGTCATAAAGGTGAGGCGGGTGCAGGGCTGTGTCCCCTCTTTTTGGAGGAACTCATGAGGTTGTCTGTGCCCTCTGGGGCAAATCGCAGGCTCATAGGCTGGACCCACGCTGGCATTCCCAGCAAACTTCAGCCATGTAAACCCCTGGTGCGTGGGCGCCAGAGCAGGAAACCTGGATCCGGGGTCAGCTGTGGGGACACCTGAGCTCCAGCCCATTTCTTCATCGGGTGAAGGCAGGGGCAGGCCATAGCACTATTATAAAAAGATATAAAATCCTTGGGAAAAGGGGACAGTTATTCAGGGAACACAGACTCACACCAGGTACAATGCTCCCCCACTTGCCTACCTGCAGTCCCATCCCATCTCTGTGCCTTCCCATGGGGATAGCACAGGGATCCCACTCTCCATCTCTCCGTGACCCTCTCCCCTTCCTCTCCCAGGTCGTGGCCCCGTGGCTGAAGCATTTTATAATCACTCACGACCTTGAATCCTCAATCTACAACTCGCCATACGTCATCCCAGGGTAGGTCTGGCCGACAGCAGCGATGCTCTGCCACTGGTGCTGCTGAACGCAGGGCCCTGCCAATGCCCCTCGGATCAGGCAGTGCCATGGGGCTTCAGTGTCCCTGGTCCAGTCCTTTTCCAAGGGTAAATCCCACCAAAGCAAAATGCCAGTCCTGGCCACATCCTCAGAAGAGCCAAACACTGACAGTGGGTCAAGCATTTTGGGAGAGAACCCAAATTTCACCTTCATACCCAGCTCTTTTGTCAGTGGTGTTGACAGAACTGCCATACACCAGCTCCACGAGGGGAAAGGCTCTTCTGATTCCTGCTCCCATTAAAACCAGTGGCAGGAATCCTTTCTGCTTTATTCAAAGCCCAACAGGAACTTCGGATGCTCAGAGCAAAGTATCCCAAGTGATTTCTGATGGCAGTCCCAGCCACACACGGATTCCCTGTGCTTATTTAAGCTCGAGCTGTCAGAGCTGGGCTGGCTCCCAGAGGAAGGACCTGGAACTGTGACTGTTTGGTTTTCCCAGGCAAGGCCCTTTGGGATGCCGATAGCATTTAATGGGTGCCATGCTCACAAGCAGACGTTCAGGCATCACTTTCTGCCTGCGTGGCATAAGTTTCTCCATCAGGAATACATTGCAAGCTCAGAACGTAGCAGGATCCTTAAATCACACGCATGCAGAGTCCCTCTGCGTGACGGCCCAGCAAGGGACAGCTGGGGACACTCACCACCACCCACCTCCTTTGGCTTTTGGGACAGGAGTGAGTTCACGATCCTGGGAGGGATCTACCAGCACGGCAACTGGAGCGAAGAAAACAGCGCCCAGGACCACAAAACCATCTGGGAGCGCTGCTGCAGGCTGCTCCCCGCGCTCCAGGTGGGTCACCCCAAATCAGCACCCACTGCTGGGGATGGGGTCTTGGGTGCTGCAGTCAAACCGCAAAATCTGGGGCTTTATGTGAGTGACAGAGTGGGCTTTGGCACCGTGGTTTGGGCTCGCTGGCTCTGCTGCAGGCTGGCAACGTGTGGGCTGGGACCCCAAATCGCTCTGCCCAGTCGCCCATTGCAGCATCGCAGGAGCTGGTGCAGCCGCGGGGCTGGGGGAGCCTCTGTCCCCCCTCATTTTGAGAGGCCTGGTCTCACGGATTGCTTGGCGCCGTGAGCTTTGGCTGCTGTGATTTGGAAAAATGTGGCGTGAGCGCTGACGTGGTTTTGGTTTCAGGAAGCGAAGATCGTAGGGGAGTGGAGCGGCCTGAGACCAGCGCGGCCCCGCGTTCGCCTGGAGCGGGAGAGCGTCCGCCACGGGGGTCTCCGGGCAGAGGTATCGCGCACAGCGTCATTAACAACCGCGCTAATTGTGCGTCGGTCACCGTGACCTCGGCAGTGCTGCAGCAACACCTGGCATTTGTTGGTCCTCACTCCATCTCCCCACTAATAATGGGTGAATCTTCGAGCCAGTTGCAGTAGCAGAGAGATGAAGTTTTGATGGGTTTTACAGGGAGAGGGGGCAGGGAGCGCTTCTGCCAAAGGAAAACCTGCAGCTGGGGCTTAGTCCTTAACAGACACCAAAAAACCCGATAACAACCCAAAACCCCTGGGTTCTGCTGCTCCCAGAACCACACAATGCACAGGAAATCACGTTTTGGTGTCAGCATTTAAAGCAGCGTGGTTTTCTGCTGGGAGCCCGTAAGCGTACGGCCCTCGTGCATGCCAACACCGTGTCCCCATTTAATAAAACCCAATACGTGGATTTTAATAAAATGCTTCGGGCTTTTTTCCCCCTCTCTTCTCCCCAGGTGCTCCACAACTACGGGCACGGCGGGG